CATCACCATCACCATCACCATCGTCACATCACCACCATCATCATCATCATCATCATCATCATCATCATCATCATCATCATCATCATCATCATCATCATCATCATCATCATCATCATCATCATCCGGAGCGCCCTGGATCGGCGGCACTAGCCAGAGGCCACTACAATATTCCAAAGCAGTCCCGAAATCGTCCCCAGACTATATTTGTTGACTATTTTTGAATTTTCCTCCTGTAGAGGGACAGGCCCGACCAAATGCTGGTCCTTCACGTCGTCCAGTTCGTCGTCCGCGGCGCGCGTGAGCTTGATCTTCTTCAGGGCGGCCCGAATCTCGCGCTTGGTCTCCTCGTTGTAGGCGTTGTGGTCCTGCCCGGCAATGGAGAGGGGGAAGAGGGCTGGCGCAGAGCAGCGACGGGCCGTGGGGCAGTCGCCCGCCGAGCGGGAAGAGGGAGGCGTAGGCAGGGGATTTCGTCGCGTGATGCGAAGCTCTCCCCTCCCCGCCGAATCCCCCTCCTCTTCCACCTCTTTCTATCCTCCTCCTCCTACGCCTCCTCCGAGTCGCATCGCGCGAAAGATCCGAGTCGCCTGAGGCGGGCGCAGAGGGGGGGGGGGGGGAAGGCAGGAGGGCGAGGGGGGGCGGCGAGGGAGGAGGAGGGCGAGGGGGGGGGGAGGGCGAGGTGGAGGCCGAAGAGGTGCGGCCTGCGAGGCGATTGGCCCCCAGTGGTGCTCTCGGGGCGCCGAGCCGAGAGGAGTTCGGGCGCAGGGTGGGGCGCCATGGCGGCCGACGCGGCCAGAGCGGGCCGAGCCCTGGCCCTGGGCCTGGCTGTTTGTTCGCAGGACTGCTCGGGGAGCTGCTGGAGATCGAGGAGCTGCTGGAGTTCCACGGCCATCACCGTCGCCACCACCCGTCCTCGGGCAGCGCGCGCGAGGCGACGGCGCCCCGGCGGGCTGCCTGCGGGCCGCGGGCGGTCGCCGGCTGGCAGTGCCCCGCCGGCCCCGGGAGCGCGCCGCCAGAGGCCCTCCGCACGTGCCCGCGCGTCCGCGCGGCGGCGCGGCGGCGCGGCCGCCCTCGGGGCCCGCTGAAGTTCGCTCTGAGTTGAGATGCCTCGTTCCGACGCGAGCCTGAGCCGAGAGGAATGCCCCCCCGTGGGCCAAGCCACGGGAACCCTGCACCGCTCCACCCCCCACCCCTCTCAGAGTCGAGGGAGGAGGAGCACGACGGGGGGTTCTGGCAGTTTTCGGCACGACGGGAAGCTCGTTATGATCTGAAATACCTCGCAGAGCTCCGACGCGAACCTGAGCTAAGAGGAATCTAGAGGCCTCCCAGATGGGGTCGGAGTAGATGGGTTCGAAAGATCTCGCTGCATCGCCGATGCATCGACACATCGACGATGCATCGGCGATGCATCGGCGATGCGACGTCCGCGTGATGAAGGTCGGGCTCCACATCGAGCCGCATCGCCGATGCATCGGCGATGGTGCGCGATCCTCCGACCCCATCTAATTCGACCCCATCTGGGAGAACTCGAGAATTCCCCCCCGTGGACAACACCACAGGAAGCCTACCCCCCCACCCCCACACCACCTCTCGTCGTGTGAAGATCACCACGGGAGGGGTTTGGGCAGTGTGTTCGGCCTTCAGGATTCAGGGGCCCTCACTCGGCCCCGGGCGGGGCCGTCAGAAAAACGACCTGGGATGGAAAACTGGCCTTGGGGAAGGGGTGCTTTCTGGGAGGTCGACGCCGCGAGAAAAAAACGACGTCGAAGATCCTAGGTCTGCCCGATCCGCGCACCCTCAGGGGGGAGCCCTCCTGATCCTGCTCCTGAGGCTCCTGCTCCTGCACCCGCTCACCGGTCCCGGGAAAGGGGTCGAGACCTCTGGAGGTCGACGCAGTGAAAAAAAACACGACGTCGGAAGTCCGGGCCTACACGTTAGTCTTGTCAAAAACGCTGGCTGGGCTTCAGAAATCGAGGGATGTCTGAAGCCAGGATGAACCCTAGCGGGGGATGTCAGATGCACCCCAGCATCGACTGGACCCGCAGGGGCATGATTCGCAGTGGACGCAGACCCCCTCTCGTCGCCCACTCTCCCCGAGGAAGTACAGCAAACGACAACTTGATGCAGGAGAGGGGTGGAGAGCGCATGCCCTCGTTCCTGCCAGGTGGCTTCATATCGGGAGGCTCACATATGACAATTGGTTGGGGGCGACCTGGTGAGAGAGTCAAGACAAGTGAAGCGTGTGCTGAACTGTAAGTCTCTGGCGCCCCCTCCAACCCACGTCAACACGAGAATATGGAGCAGAAATGGTCCAAATGCCCGAAATCATACACCGTGGCTCGTTCAGGGGATCCCTCCTGAGACACAGCCCAAGTACATGCTGCCTCCGCTCGGTTGTGTCTGCGACCTCCGTCTCCTCTCGATAGCAGAACGCCCAGTGGAGGGTTCTCCAGATGGCACTGGAAGCGTCCCCAAAGGCCTCTGGATGCCCCTGGAGGCCCCCAGACACAGCTGCGAAAGGGCCAGAAGCGCTCACAAAAGCGCCCAGAAACTTTCGACCACACCCCTCCTCGAACCTCGGCCCCCGAAGCTGGCCTCGCGCTGACTCCCGCCGCGCCTGGACGGACAACGAACGAACGACCACCAGGGCGGACAAATGTCCAGGCCTGCCTGATACCCGGTGAGAGAAGCCGCAGCCTCCAGATGCTGTCGGCGATGTTCAGACACACATGCGAGACAGCAGTGCAATGTTAAGACAAATACCGACTACACCATCGGTTCGACCGTTTCTGCGGTTTTATCTGAGCTACAGCTTGTGAAGGCTCGAGGAGGTTCGAGACCGAACTTGAGTTCGCACGTGGAGCTGACAGGACGCTCGAGACTCCAAGTTAGAATTCCAACATGGAGGATCGAATGTAATGCGGGTTCTGACTTGGAGGTTCGGGGAGCTTCGGACTCCAATTTGAGACCGAACCCACCAAACCTCGAAGTTGGAAATCTTTTAGCTTGAAGGTTCGAGATAAGTTCGAACTCAAAGTTGAGATTTAGCTTGGAGATTCAAGAAGGCTCGAACTGAAATGTGTGTTCTAACTTGGAGGTTCGAGGAGGTTCGAACTCGAAGTTGAGTTCGAACCTCATTAAGCACCCAAGCTAAGTTCAAAGTTGGACGGGTTCAAACCCTCAAGTTCGAGCTCACATTTGAATTTGAACCTCCTTGGGCATCCAAGCTAGAACTTAAAGTTGAGTTTGAATATGCTCGGATCTCCAAGTTATAACTCGAAATTGATTTCGAATCCACTGAAACCTTCCAGCTCGAACTCAAAGTTGAGTTCGAACCTCCTCTGACCTCCAAGTTCGAATTCACACTTGAGTTCGATCTTTCAAATTGGAACTCGAACACCATCGAACCTCTAAGTTATAACCCAAAGTGGAATTCAACCCTGCTCGAACCTCAAAATTAGAACTCAGAGTTGAGTTCAAGCCTCCTCGAACCTCCAAATTAGAACTGAAAAATGAGATCTGACTTAGAGGTTCGAGGAAGTTCAGGCTCAAGTTTGGAGGATCAAGCGCAAAGTTGAGATCTACCTTGAAGATTCGAGGATGCTCGAAGTCAAATATGAGTCCTAGTTTGGAGGCTCGATGAGATTATAACTCAGAGTGGGAGGATCGAGCGCAAAATCGAGTTCTAATTTGAAGGCTCCAGAAGGATTGAAGTCAAGCTCGAGTTCAAATTGGAGATTCGAGGAGAATTGAACTTATATTAGGAGGATAGAGCGTAAATGTAAGTTCTAACTTGGAGGTTCGAGGAGACTCGAACTCAAATGAGAGTTCTGCCATGAAGGTTCGAGGAGGTCAGAACCTACCGCGCACAAATTTGAAATTCTAATTTGGAGGTTAGGCGAGATTCGAAGTCAAGTTTGAGTTCAGACTTTGAGGCTCGAGGAGGTTCGGACTGAATGTTGGAGGATCGAGCACAAAGTTGAATTCTACGTTTGAGGTTCAACGAAGTTCGAACTCAACTGTGAAATCCGGTTTGCATGTTCGAATAGAGCTCAAATGTGACTTGTCACCGTCTAAACCTCGGACTGAAATCTAAAACCTGAGTTCGAACTTGGAGTTTCGAGAAGGTTCGAACTCAAATGTGAGTTCTAACTTGGAGTGCTCAAATTTGAATTCTGCCTTGGAGATTCGATAAGGTCTGAACTCGAATGTGAGTTCGAACGATGCCCCACAGCAAACGCTGTCCAAAACCATCAGCGGCCGCTGTGGAGCAGGCGGCCTTCTGTCTCAAGTGGAACACGCCCGCGGCGGCTCCGACAGCGAGCCCTGCTCCAAAACGGACAGGAAGTACTGTCAGTCTTCGTCCCACTTCTCTTTCCGCACCCTCCGGTCGTACCGAGGAAGCCCGGTGACGCGGCGCTCCCCGGCGGGCGCGCACTACTCAAGAAGGGGCGGGCGGGCCGCGGGTCCGCTTCGAGTACGGCCAGCATGATCGGGTCTCCTGGCGGGCGGCGCGCCACAGGGCGGGCCCCCAGGGGAAGGAGCGGCAGCAGCAGCAGCAGCAGCAGCAGGAGGGGAAGGAGGAGGAGAAGAGGAGAAGAGGAGGAATATGAGGAGGAGGATGAGGAGGAGGAGGAAGAGGAAGAGGAGGCGGCGGGGGCCGAGGAGGAGGAGGAGGAGGCGGAGGCAGAGGAGGACGAGTCGGAGGACGAGGCCGAGGAGAAGAATGTCAGAATCGAGTGCGGACGTGGTCGGCCCCGGGGTTGGCCTCGGGGAGAGAGGCGGCAGCCTTCTTGGCAAATGACGTGCCAAGAGCTCCGCAACCATGAAAAAGCCATGGAAGCTCCAGAACTCTCGACCCCACTCTCCGCAAGAGTTGCCGATTCACAAAAGCTTCAAGTTGACGCGGCGACGACAACAACGACGACGACGACGACGACCGCGGCGACGACGACGACGACGACGACGACGACGACGACGACGGCGACGACGACGGCGACGACGACGACGACGACGACGACGACGACGACGACGACGACGACGACGACGACGACGACGACGACGACTACGATGGCGACGGCGACGGCGACGGCGACGGCAACGGCGACGGCGACGACGGCGACGGCGACGGCGACGACGGCGACGGCGGCGATTGCGACGGCGGCGACGACGGCAAAGGCGACGGCGACGGCGACGACGACGGCGACGGCGACAGTAACGGCGAAGGCGATGGTGATGGCAACAGCAACAATGGCCACGGCAACGACGGCGATAGCAACGGCGACAAAGGCGATGGCTCCGGCCACGGCGGCGACGACCACTGCGGCGGCGACGACTACGACCACGATAAAGACAGCGACGGCGACGAAGACGACGACATTGGCGATGACGGCGACGGCGACGAAGGCGACGGCGGCGGCAACGGCGGCGACGACGGCGGCAGCGGCGACGACCACGGCCACGAGACAGAGACGGCGGCGAAAACGGCGACGGCGGCGATGACGACGACGGCGAGGACGACCGCGACAGCGACGACGAGGACTACGACGACGACGACAACGACGATGACGACGACGACGACGATCACGGCGACGACCGCGAAGACTCACGTCGTGCCCTCGTGGGCGGCCATTACACCCGCATCCCTGAGAAGATCATCACAGAGGGCTTCGTGGTGCTAGGCTCGGGCCTGAGATGGGACAGGGGGGCCCCTGTGCCTCGTATGATAGGTTCACTTCTGGGTGCTGATTGTCCCGCCGCGTTTACACGATGGAGACATTGCCCCACGCGATAGAACTGACTCGCTTGGTCTCAGATTTGTCCCGCGGGGCGGAACGACAAAACAAGTCGAAACTGACACTCAACCCTACCTGTCTTCTGGGATTTTCTGACGTCATTTCAGCGTCTGCCAATGCACGCCAGATTCAAAATCAGTGGCCCTAAATGGTTTGTCAAGCGGCGCCCCCCATGCCGACATACGCGACGGCCCGTTCCCGCGCCCCCACGGGCGCACGCATCCCAAGGCAAGAAAACATCTCCAGTAACCTACGAAACCGTCCAAAAGCCTCTCGCTGCCCCCGAAATCCTGCCAAATCTAGGCCACACAACTTCGCGCATCGCGCCCAACGATGCGCGACGCGCGGTTATTTTCGGGAAGTCGCGCCCTCGTGCCCCTTTGGGTAGGACAGCTGCCCTGGCCTGGACCTACGGGGGAGCGATAGGGGAGACAGGCTCATGAGGGAAACATCGACCTGGACTCGGCGATGCATCGCCGATAGATCGGCGATAGGACAGACCCGCACACCTGGGCGAGGTCGACTATCGGGCACCCATCGGCAATCGATGGGCGATTGGGGGTCGATGCGTCCCATCCCTGAGCCCATCTCCCCGCTCACCTTGCTCCTTGAAGACTGGGGTCTGGGAATCCAACAATCCGCCACCGTGCCTCTGGCACGAAGTGGAGTGCCCGAAGGCTAACGCAGCACTGAGAGGGCTGTGCTCCTGCTGCAGCAAGAACTGTAAACTTCTGAAGGCCCCGACCAATCGTTTCTCGGGGCAGCCCTGGCCGGCCCGGGGTCCGAAAGAATCGCTCGCGTCGGCCTACCCCGCCCAGGAGGGCCCAAAAACGAGTCCACATGGCTCCTAGAGGCCCCCAAAATGATCAAAAAGGGCCCAAGTCGCCCCAAGATCGCTCCAAGACGCCCAAGCTGGCCCCAAGATGGTCCAAGATGCCTCCAAGACGCCACAAAAGCCTCCAAGAGGCCTCCCAAGAGGGCCCCAAGAGGCCAAAATCAGCGGTGTTCCAAATGTGTTTAGAAGTGTTTGTCGTTCTCGCCTTTCCGACTTCCCGACGCTCCACGACACCCAAGAAGCCCCCAAGGCCACCCCAAGACGGCCCAAGAAGGCCCTAAGACGGCCTAAGAGCGCCCCAAAACGGCCCAAGAGGCGCACAAGCCGGCCCAAGAGGGCCCCAAGACGGCCCCAGAAGAGCCCCGAGAGAGGTGGGTAACATGAACTGAAAATCCGAGACTTCTGCCCCAAGAGGCCCACGGGAGACCCCAAGAGGCGCCAAAGAGGTCCCAAGAGGCCCCCAAGAGGCCACCAAGAGGCCTCAAGAGGCTCCCAAGAGGCCGAAAAGAGGCCCAAGAGACCGCAGAACGACCCCCAAGAGGCCTCAAAACTGCCTCCCCCACGAGATCCCAACGAACATCCAATAGGCTTGGTACCCACAACCCAGGCACGGTGGTGGTTTGAGCCAACGGCCACCAGTGCCTACAACGATGGGTATCTTCGAGCTCCCAGGAATGGCGCGACGCGCGAAGCTGCCTGGACCTCGCCTGGCGTGGGCCTCTGCGCATGCATGCATGCATACATGCATGCATACATACATACAAACGTACATACTTACATGCATGCATACATGCTTACGTACACACAGGCAGGCGGACATACAAACATATATACATACGTACAAACATACAGACAGCTTTGCATACAGACAGAGAGACAGACATACAAACGTACAGACATACAGACAGACAGACAGGCAGGCACAGCTATAGCCATAGAGGCATGCATACATACATACATGCATGCATGCATACATACATACATACATGAATACATACATACATACGCATACCTGTACGCATGCATACATACATGCATACAGACGCTCATACATACATGTATGCATAAACACATACATGCACACATACATACATGCACACATACATACATACCAACATACATTAATCCCACCAGCCCTCTGGGCGCAGGTGGTCTAGGGCGTTCCCTATTCCAGCATCATTTATTTCCCTGCTCTGGAGTTTTACCTCCCCCCCCTCCCTGCGTCTGGACGGGCTCTCGCGCGAGGTGGCAGAAGGCCCTTTTCGGCCCAAGATGGCCCCAAAAGGGCTTCAGAGAGTGCGCGATGGCCTCCAAGATGGCACAAGATAGCGGTAGGTGGCTCAAGACAGCCTCCGGCACACATCCAAGAGGCCCCAAGACGGCCCCAGGACGGTTTCAAGTGCCCTCCGAGCCCTCCGAGGACTCCCCCAACAGGCCAAAATCCATCAAAAACCTAAGGAAAATCAATGCGGTTTGCCTTCTCGTTGTTTCGCCTCCGATGGGCTCTTGAGGCCCCAAGATGGCCCAAGACGGCCCAAGATAGTTCCAGGAGGGGCCCAAAAAGGCCCCAAGACGGCCAAGAGCGCACAAGAGCACTTCAAGAGCGGCCCCACATGGCCCCAAGACTACATTCTTGAGCCTCCGACGGGGCGATGGGAATTAAGGACCCCCCATATGTTTGATAAATGCGGCCCAAGACGGCCCCACGAGGCCTCCCAGACCACCCCAAGAGCCCCAAGAGAGCTCCAAGATCCCCCAAAAGAGCCCCAAGAGGACCCCAAGACGTCCCAAAAGAGCCCCAAGAGGGCCCCAAGACGTCCCAAAAGAGCCCCAAGAGAGGGCCCCAAGACGGCCCTGAAGAGGACCTCAAGAGAGCCCCAAGAAAAAACTCCAGGGGGGCCTCAACAGAGCCCCAAGAAAACCCCAACAGAGCCCCAAGATGGCTCCAAGTTTCGAAACGCATTCGAACTTAATATACAAATCAGTGCAACAGCCGTTACGCTTCATCGAAACACCCGTCACCCCTCATCGAAGCACCATCGTAGCTTGCACCGATTTCCATCTTAAATTTCAACGCGGGAAACTATGCGTGTTCCTTATTTTTCCGAAGACGGCTGCGCGACTGCATGCGTCCTGCCGCCCCTGACTCGCCAACTCCCCTGCTGATCGTTTCTGGATGGGCTGGTGGGGATACTTTGGCTCGCGAGCGACGCGGTCAGCCGCGCGCCGCCAGATACAGTCGAAAGAGTAGCGCAAGCCCTGCTGTCGCAAGTGTGCCGCGGAAAAAGGCCACAAGGGTGGCGGAAGCTACTAAGCAAAGACAGAGGCAGGCGAAAGCGAAGAGGCGGCCGAGGACGAAAAGAAGAAGAGGGAAGGAAGAAGCAACGGGAGACAGGACAAGAAGCGGAAAGAAAAGAAAACACGACAGAAAGAGAGAGAGAAAGAGAGAGAAAACGCGCCGCAGCTCAGGCTCAGGCCAAGAAGAAGACGAAAGCCCCTTGCCGAGGAGCCCGAACTTGTAATTAGCTGGTGGGGAAACGCGAAGCGTCAAGAATATACACACACATACATGCATGAATTCATGCATGTATGCACACATACACACAGACAAGACAGACAAGACAGACAAGACAGACAGACAGACAGACAGACAGACAGACAGACAGACAGACAGACAGACAGACAGACAGACAGACAGACAGACAGACAGACAGACACTGCGCACCAAGTCTGTTCGGGGAGGAGCATTAGCAAGGGCACAGGCAAACCCGCGCCAGCACACAGGCGCAGCCTGCTGCTGGCGCCCCACCCCGGGAGAAATCCCAGCAGGACTTCTCCCAGGGGGCGGGAATTGCCCGCACCCAAGCCGACGCCCCGGCGGCGCCCGCCCTGCGCCGCCCTCCGGCCGCTGGCCAGCGCAGCAGGTGGCCGCCCGCCAAGCAGTGCGCCGCCGCCGCCGCCGGGGCGCCAGGCGCCCGAGGCGCTGCCGCCGCCGCCAGGTCGCCAGGTCGCCAGCCGCCTGAGGCGCCCGCCCGCCGCGCCTGGCTCCGCGCCAGCGCGCGGCAGCGGCGCAGCGCCGGCTCGCGGTGGCGTCGCACCTCTGCCTTCAGCCAGAGGCGCGCCTCGGCCCCGAGCCGCCCCCCCGCCTCGAGGATGATCGGGGTGAGGCGCTCCCCCGGGTAACGAGCGTGCTTGTCTCGCTCTCCGCGCCGGCTCGCCTCGCCGTCGCGACGGGCCGCGACCCGCTGCCCCGCCTCGGCGCCCGCGGCGGGGTGCCGCACGGACACGTCGAGCCAGCGACGCCCGTCGTCGTCCTGGAACTCGAGGTCGAGCACGGCGCGCTCTGTCTCCCCGGGGTGGCCCGGCCTCGGCCTGTCCCAGAGCGGGACCCGCTGCTCGTAGAGCGGGAGCTCGTGCCCCCAGCGCCGTAGCAGGCCGCCGAGCCGCCGAGCCAGCCGGCCGCGCCTGCGCACCACCCCGCCGCCGCTCTGGCAAGTGGCGCCGTGGTAGCCGAGGTCGTCCAGCGGCTCCCCACAGACCTCGCCGCTGGCGTTCTGCAGGCAGCAGTGGGCCGTCGCCGCCGCGAGCTGGTCCCGGGAGCACTCGGGCCTCCGGAGGTGCAGCCGGAGGCGAGTAGCCGTCTCCCAGCGCGCGTACTCCAGCGCGCAGAGCGCCTCCGTGGGGTAGCCCAGGAAGGCTGCCGCGCCCGGCCCAGCTTGCCCTCGCAGAGTGGCTTGTTGGAGGAGGGGCAAACGCTGCAGGAGTGCAGCGTGGTGTGTCTTTTGCACCTTCTCCATAGCCAAGCCCTGCTTGAGCTCGCGCGCCAGGCTGTCAGCCAGCGTTCCGCCGTCCGCCAGCAGCAGCCCCTGCCCGGCCAGGCCCTGCCTCGCTTCCTCCAGCTTGCGCGCGGCGGCAGGCAGGCGCTCCAGGGCGTCGTGCAGCGAGCTGCACCCCAGGTCTCTCGCAACCTCCTCGGCCGCGCCAGACCAGGAGGCCAGGTAGGCGGCGCTCCGCCGCGAGCAGGCCAGCTGCCCCCCGAGGCCGCCAAGGCGCTTGGGCAGGCTCATGAACTCCCCGGCTTCGCCGCTTAAGTCGCGCCTCAGCAGCGTCTCCCAGCAGCGCGTTAGCCGGGCGTCGTAGCGCTGGGTGGCTTCCTCGCTCGCCAGCTCCTGCCGCAGGGCGTGCTGGCTGGCGGCGTCAGCAGCAGCGCCCCAGTGGCTTGCTTTGCCAGGCCCGCCTGGTGGAGCCGGTAGAGCGTGTCCCAGAGCTTCTGCAGCCGCAGGGTCGCCTCGTCAAGGCTGTTGGCGCGCGCCCCGAGGGCTGCGGGGTTGTCCTCTGCGCCCCCCCGCGGCCTGAGCTTGCCAAGCACCGGGAGAACAGCCACGTAGTGGGGCCGCAGCGCAGGCGGCACGACGGCGCCCCCGCTCGGGGACCAGACCGCAGTCTTCGCGTGGTTGAGCTCCAGGCCGTAGGGCTCGAGGGCAGTCTCCAGGGCAGCGAGGGTGGCAGGGGAGAGGCCGGCCTCGACCACCAGGTAGGTGTCGCCCAGGTAGGAGTAGATCTAGGGCAGCAGGGTCCAGCCTCTGGAGCCCCACCCAAAAGTCGGCGAGAGCCTCGCGCTGCGCCACCGAGAAGCCAGCGGGAGAGAGCGGGTCGCCTTGGTCGAAGCCCCTGCGGCTTGGCACCTTGTGCAGTGCGCCGCCGGCGTCTCTCCAGTAGTGGTCCACCGGGCCCCCGTACCAGGTGGCCAAGGCGGCGGCCACTGCAGGGTCGTGTCGTGTCATTGCTGCGGTGGCAGGTTGGCGTTTCACTCTCTGGAAGGCCGCCTTAAGGTCAAGTTTCCGGAAGACGGCGGTGGGGCGGGCCTCCGCCTGTGCCTCGAGGCACCGCAGTAGGAGGTCCGCGCCCTTCTTCCTCCCCACGCCGTACTGGTGCTCGCCAGCAGCGGCCGCCAGCCGCTCCTTGCGGACCCGGACCAACCTTCGCAGGCCGAGCCGCCGCCAGGCCGAGCTCACCAGCAGAGGCCGGACCTCGTCCGCACCTTTTTCGAGGGTGATGACCTCGCCGACCCGCAAGGCTTGCAGCGTCCCAGCCGGAAGAAGGCCGAAGGTGACCCAGGAGACCGCCTCGGAGAGAAGCTGTAAAGTCTCCTGGCTGGCCGGTGCCGTCTCCAAGTGCTCCAACCTCGTTCCGAGCAGACCCGGGGCAAAGAGCTGAGCTGGTCTGCGAAGGAGGCGCCGGATCTCCTCCTGCACCGCCTCGAGCAACTCCTCGTCCGGCTCCGAGCGGGCGCCTGGGGGGGGCGGCGCGGCAGCGTCCTCAGGGAAGCACTCGAGGACCTTTTTCAAGGTCTCCGGCGTTCGCGGGGCGAGCTTCGCGCTGGTGGCTGCCGTCAGCGCTCGACCCTCTTCCCCGGAGGCGGCGAGAGTGTGCACCCGAGCCGCTAGCTGTTTGTCGGTCTGCTCGCGGCTCCTCCTCGGGACAGTCCTGCCAGCCCGGGTGGAAGCCCAGAGGGCTGCCCACTGCCCGCCCCAGAACCACGCGAGCCTTTCCTCGAGCAGCTCCCCACGCGTAGCCGCCTCGGACGACTTGGACAGGAGGAGCATGTCCATGAGTAGGACCAGTTTCCACTCGCTCTCGGCCTCCGAAGTCCCACGGGCACGCTTGAGGACCTCCAGGGCCTTGTGCCGCGCCTCCTGCAGGGCTCCTCGGAACCGGTCCGGGACCTGCACGAATGTCGTCGTGCCAGCTTTGAGTGCATCTTCCCAACGCAGCGTGTCCCACCAGGCGGCGTCGGGCAGGAGCTGTTCCTCCCAGGCTGGGTGCAAGGGCGCGGCGTGCTGGCCAGCGTGGAGCGCTCCGGCGCCCTCTCCAGCGGCCGCCCCAGCCGAGGCAGCTCCCAGGGCTGCCTGTTCGGGAGCGGCCTGCACACGCATCCGGGCTGCGTCGGCATCCTCCTGGGTGGCGCGTCCGAGGGGCTTGAACTCGGCCCCCTGCGGCACGGTCCCAACCAAGCAGATTGTGCACTCCCACCGCGCACTTGTGCGAGCACCCCAAGGGCATAGGCGGAGCTCGCCGGCGCCGAAGACGAGCCCGCACGTCTTGCAAGTGGCCGGGCGCGTTGTCTGCGGCTGGACGCCCACTGCCCAGACTGCTGCTCGGCGCCGGCGTCGACTCGCCGGCTCGTCGACTGCCATGTCACCCTGTGCTCCAGGCTCAGCATCATGCATCGAATCCAAGCGCACGTCCTCTGCCATTCGGCACCCAGACAGACAGACAGACAGACAGACAGACAGACAGACAGACAGACAGACAGACAGACAGACAGACAGACAGACAGACAGAGGGACAGACATGTAACACAAAAAGCAAACACACAAAAACGACACGCCCAAATATCTGCAGGCTTCATCCTACGCGAGGCCCGGCGATCTTCGCGCTCCTGGGGGGGCGACGTCATGGGGGCGACGTCATGACGAGAATGATGGAATGATGAGATTGGCTCAGGATGCGTTCTGGATCTCCGGGGGGTTCTAACAACCCCTTGCTTCTGGAGCCCGTGCTTAATGGGACGCACAGAGACATACTAGTACTGTATGTTCTCCTTGGAGGCGTGCGTCCGACCCGAAAATATAGTATACCCATCTTGTAGCACATCGTTTCCCGAGCGGTGTGGCCAGAAAGCGCCCGCCACGACGCACATACTATAAGATTTCTCGGTGCGCGCGTCGCCCCTGGGGGGGAGCGACGAACACATAATAAGAACTAGTATGTTGGGGTGATGCTGATGGTAAATCCTGGAGATCGTGGATATGCTGGAGCGTATCATTATCATGACGTCGTGCTCCAGGGAGCCCACAAAGGACGTGCACGCCCAACCACGTACATGGATACGGCCCCCCAGTCCGCGAGACCGGCCTCGTAATACAAGAGCTCGCGACGCGAGCACTCTCGAAGCGAGCGTGGAACCGTGCACGTGCACGTCCTCTTTCGCTCCTGCTCTCCTGAGACCCATGCCATCGCTCGGACGACCATTCCCTGTGCATCTCCTGGCCCCGTGCGCTCCCTTTCCCGCGAGATGATCCGAAGTGCTCCCAGGTGGCCCTCGCCGAGAAAACAACAAAAAAAAAAAAAAAAAAAAAAAAAAAAAAAAAAAAAAAAAAAAAAAAAAAAAAAACAACGAAAACGCCCACGCCCGAGCTATGCCAACCCAAACATCCGCCGATCTGATTTTGTGAATCCGCGGCCCAAAGGTCCTGACGACCTGACTCCTTCCCCGGGGCTGGTTTTTCGTCCCGGACCCCCTTTTTTTGATGGCCCCAGGGCCCGATAATTAACGGGCCCCAGAGGCCGAAACCCAGGGGAAACCGGCGGATCGAAAAAACCATACAATGACAATGATCAGGGGCCGCCTGGACCTGGACCTCGAGGAAACCAAGAAGAGCTCGGGGACCTCGAGGACCACGATCCCTTTCTTATACGGGACAACAAAAAAGAAAGATCCTCGGATCCTCTGGGGAAGGCCCCGGGGCAGACCCCGAGGCGGGCCGCCGCGCGAGGCGCGCGGAGACGGGCGGCGGCCGCCGCGAGGGGCGCGCGCGCGCGCGCGCCCGAGGCGGCGCGGCGGGGGGGGCCGGGCTGGCGAGGCGCTCGCCTGCGCCGTGCCCGGCGGAGGGCAGCACGGCCGGCGGCAGGGGCACGAAGCGGCGCGGCGTGTAGGACAGGGGCATCACCTGCGAAACGCGCGCTCTCTGGGGCGAAGGGGGGCGGGACCGGGTTGGCAGATCTACCGTTCGAGTGTACACTGGAGCCCCGAGCACAAGAAACCTTCCACAAGAAACCCAACCCTGAGACCCCAGGACGTCCACTGATTTTTGGTCTGGGAACGTCACGCCTTCCACAGCAAAACCATCGAAACCCAAGAAACCGAGGGCACCCTGGAGGCAAGCAGGGTGTTTCTTGGCATGGGCCTCCACTGTAGGGGATCGACTAGAGAACCGATTTGCCCGAAAATTGATATGTCCACTGGTTCCTGTGTAGGACAGGGGCATCACCTCCGAAACGCGCGCTCCGGGGCGAAGGCAGCGGCTCGGGTCGTCGGAGCTACCGTCGGCCCACATCATAAGGAAGCGCAATATAAGGATGCAAGGGCCTTGGAAGGCCACTTCGCACCTTTCTAGCCGTTCGAGTACAGTCAACCCGCATAGTAAGGACGCGCGAGAAGGATGCAAGGGCCTCGGAGGGCCATGTCGAAGCTTTTCGAGCGGGGCGCGGCCAACGAAAGTGGCCAAGGCTGGAACGAGGAGGCAAGGATGCAAGGGTACCGTTAGGAAGGTTGCCCTGCCTTACTATGCGGGTTGACCGCACCGTTCGATTATAAGGGGGTCGACCGGAGAAGTGGTATGCCCGAAGGTTGATCTGTCCGCCGGTTCTACAGCACGAAGCGGCGCGGCGTGCAGGACAGGGCATCACCACGCCCGCGCTGCGAGGCGGGGACGTCTCCATATCCACCGCCGCCGTCGCCGTCGCCGCCCCCGTCGCCGTCGTCGACGAGAATCCTCCATGCTCCCCCCGAGCGGAGCCAGATCGGAAGGAATCGGCTGAAGTCGGCTGAAACATCGCATCGGCAAGAGTCATTCCACCGACCTAGACGTGCTGTCGCGGATTTTCGCGTGGATTTCAGTCAATGCAGAACCTTGGAACGGCGAGCGAAAAACGAAAAGTATTTCACGTGGCTTGTTTGTAGTCTTCATTCCTGAAACGAAATTATCCAAGACGCTCCGGGCACATTCTTTTGTTTTCCGAACGTAATCCGGTCTGCGAAGTTGGCGCCATGACAAAAGTCGGACCGGGCGAGCTCGAAGTAGGAGTCGTGCATCGGGAGGTTCGCACCGAGTCGGATCGACTCGGCACCGTAGGAAGCCCCGGCGGGCGGTGGATTTATATCATATGGCATTACATAGCACAGTATAATATAACGCAATAAACTATGATATAGAATCGTACAAAAAAACTATCATACACTGGAATTGATCAGATAACAAAAATTGTGTATGATATAATCCGCCGACCCTGTCGGCGTGTGTGAGGGGCTTGTCCGTTCAAGTCGTCATCTCCGTCATTCGTTGGTCGTCGTCTCTGTCGTCCCCTTTCCCTGCCTCCCCCCCTTCCCTGGGCTCGTCGAAGCTCCCCCCTTTCCCAGGGACCTCCTCAGCGCGCCAGCCAAAGCAAAGTTGAGCAACGTCGTAATTGAGTCGAAGGGAAGCCCCTTCCCTTCGATCCCTCCCCCGCCGGGGGGGGGGATGGGGGAGGTCCCGGGGGGGGGGTCAGATACGACGCCCCGCCTGGGAGTCCGGGAGCCGCAAAAAGCCCCAAGACGGGCCAAGAGTGCCCCAAGAGGCCCCAAAGACAGTCCAAGAGAACCCCGAATCGCCGAACGATCTGTCCAAGACGCCTTGACGGCCTCCAGACGGCCCAAGAGGCCTGCAAAGCGCCCCAAGAGGCCTCCAGGAGCTTTCCCACGAGAGCCCCAAGAGGCAAAAATCATGGATTTCCCGTACGTTTTTGGAAGATCTTGGCGTTGCCCCTTCCGCTTCCCGGCGCGCCAAGACGGCCCAAGAGGCCCCCTATGATCGCCCCGAGACGGCCCAAGAGGCCCCCAAGAGGGCCCCCTAACGGCCGAAGAGGGCCCCAAGACGGCCCAAGACGCCTCCAAAACGGCCCAAGAGGCCCCCAAGACGGCTCCAGGAGAGTGCCCAGACGGGGGACCCGAACGGACATTTCGAGCTCTCAGCCCCAAGAGGCCCCCAAGAGGCCCCGAAGAAGCCCCAAGAGGCCCCAAGAGGCTCTCAAGGGGCCCCCAAACTGCCCCAAGACAGCCCAGGAGGGACCCAAATTGCCCAGGAGGCCTCCAAGAGTGCCTCGAGACGGCGCAAGAGGAACCCTGGACGGCCCAAGACGGCCTCAAGAGAGCCCCAGGCTGTCCCAAGAAAGCCTCTGGCCTCCTCCTCTTCCTCCTCCTCCTCCTCCTCCTCCTCCTCCTCCCCTCTGCTCCCCCTCCTCCTGCTCTCCTCTGCCTCCTTCTCCTCCTCTTGCTTCTCCTCCACATCATTCTCCCCCCTCCCCCTCCCTCATCCACCTCCTCCACCCTTTCTCCACCTCCCACTCATCCTCCTCCCCCTGCCCCCCCTCGTTTTCATCTTCGTCGTTATCAGGGTCGGCGGTACCGGCCGTAAGGCCTTCGCAATATAAGATAGTCAAATATGTAATAGTGAAACATGATACACTATAACACAACATATTAATATATACGATGAAAGAAACTACGATATGATGATACAGAATTACATACTATTTATTACATCGAACAAACTGTCATATGATACAGCATGGTATAGCAAGAAAATGCTACACTTTATTAACATATGATACACCGCATGTTTAAAGTATAACGGCCGAATATAAGGTGTACTGCGATATGATACAATATGAAATGAAATCGTGTAATGGAATGTAGTGAAATAGTATGCAATACAACTTGTTGTCATGCACATGATATGATAGGACGTGGTACCATACAGGGTCGTATAATGCCAGGGATGCGACATAATGAATTAAAATCATTGTATACAGTATGTAACAGTGCACACCAATTGGATATCACACATGCGAATATACTACAGCTCGCTGTGTTGTAACAGAATAGACTAAAATATTGTATCGTATACTATCTTATAATACATACAATATATTGTAATATGCTACCCGTATGTTAAAATTGAGTACCGCATAATATAATATGTTGATGTATCATACAATAAAACATAACATCATTATTTTATATATATATATATAATCAAACTGTCACAAAATAAATTAATACAACAGAATGCAATACACACATATATATATATATAAATATATATATATATTATATATATATATATATATACTACACACACTACATTCCCCTTCCTATATGTTTTTATAAGCCTGGGCGGGAACCCCCCCCCCCCCAAAAAAAAAAAAAAAAAAACGGGATCTGGGGCTTTGGGACCCTCCGGACTGGCCTCGAAGCGGCCCCCCGGGCCTCGCATGGCATTTTGCCAAGCCTTCCCAGCACTCCTAGGGCGATCAGGGGGGTCATCGGAGACGTCCCAGAGACCCCCAAGACAGCACAAGAGCGCTCCAAGAGTGACCGACGTGACCTAAAGATGGCCCAAGAGGCCTCCAGGACGGCCCCAAAGGCCTCAAAAGCCTCTAAGAGCACCCCCAAGAAGGCCCCAAGAGGCAAAAAGTCATTGATGTTCTACAGGTTTTTGGTGAATTTGGGGGTTCTCCTCTTTTTGGCTTCCCGACGCTCCAATACGGCAGTCTTCTGGGCGTCCGAGGCCGCCTGGGAGGCTCCAAAATCGCCCCACAACCATCCGAAAGGGCTTCCAGGCAATCCAAGAGAGCCCCAAAACGGCACAACAGGGGTCAAAGATGGTCCTAAGAGAGCCCCATGGCGGCCCAAGACGGCCCCAAGACACCCTCCGAAACATTCCAAATCGTGACCCGGTCGTTCAGGGAGACCGCGGTTCGAGGCAGGGTAGCCCGAGGAAGCCCCCAGAACCTCCAGAACACGCCCAGGAGGCCTCCAGAAGGCCTTTAAGAAACCTGCAACTGTTGTGAGGCCCCCAGAGGCTCTCCAAGGAGGAGCCTCCGCAAAAAGAGCCTAGGAAAATAGGGGGAAAATGCGCAGGGTATGGCGAGAACGAGGAATTACTCGACGCGGGGCTCCCCATCTGTGCATCTCATTATCTTGGTACGTCTTTCTCTTGATATCTATCAATGAGCGCCTGTGTGCGAGGGCGAACCGCTCGCTCGAGACATTCCCACAGTCTGCAAGCATGAGTGCGACCAATAGCAAATCTGAGAGCGACTGATTCTGAGTGTGAGTTAATATGGGTACAATTGAGCCTGGGTTTGCGTGGGTATGCGTGTGAGTAAATAAGAGCGCGAGTGCGTCTGTGTGCGAGTGGGTCTGAGTATGGACGAGTCTGAGCGTGAGCCAGTCTGTGATTGAGCGGATCGTAGCACGATGAGTCTGAGCATGAGTGAGTCTGGGCTTAAGTGGGTCTGAGTGTGAGAAAAAGTGTGTGCTAATGAATCTGAGTGCGAATGAGCCGAGTGTGATTGGGTATGGATGTGAGGCAGTCTGAGTGTGAGTCGGTCTGCGTTTGAGCGGACCGAAGGATGATGAGTCTGAGCAGGAGCGAATCTGAGTATGAGTGGTTCTGAGCGTGAGTCTGAGTGTGAGTAAGTTTAAGTATGCATATGAGCGAGTCTAAGTGCGAGTGAGCCTGCGTGTGACTGAGTCTGAGTATGAGCGAGTATGAATGCAGAAGAGTGAAGGAGAGCGGAGAGCGAAGGAGAGTGAGGCGGAAGCGTTTGACTAAAACCTAAAGCTTTGGAACATCGAACCTCGATCGTCTGGCCCTGGCTACTCGAGTTGGCCACGTCCTCCTCCTCCTCCTCCTCCTCCTCCTCCTCCTCCTCCTCCTCCTCTCCTCCTCTCCTCCTCCTCCTCCTCATCCTCATCCATCCTCATCCTCATCCTCCTCCTCATCTCATCCTCATCCCATCCATCCTATCCTCATCCTCATCCTCATCCTCATCCTCATCCTCATCCTCATCCTCATCTCATCATCATCATCAGCATCAGCATCATCATCATCATCATCATCAT